GAGTACTGTTTCTCCAGCTTTTTCTTTGGCTACTTCTGTAAATGCCATCAAGGTGAACTACTAAGAATTTACCTCATAAGTTCATGTTTTTGCTTATTAGCTCTCTTTTAGATGCCATCCTTCCAGTCTCTGGTCAAAATCCTGCCCAGTCAAGCCTTTCCTTCAGATTCTAACTCAGCTACCATCTTTCATTTCTTTTACAGCCAGACTCACTGCCTCTATTTCTGGTACTTAGTCTTGTAATCTGTACACTGAAACATGATTTTCAGGATCTTTCGTACTGAAAGTTCAAACTAGCTGCCATCAAGTTCACGGTGATTCCATGTATATGTTCCACAGGGCTTTTCAATGACTAGTTTCTTAGAAGATGACTCAAGTTTGTCTTCCAAACTATTTCTGGGTGAGTGAATTCAAGCCTTCAAACTTTCAGTAAGCAGCCAAGTGTTTTAACAGGTTGCATCACTGGGGACTCCTTACTAATTCTCACAAGCACTGTTCTTGTCTTCATGTAACTTGACTTCTCAGCAACATTCCAATCAACTGACCATTCTCTCCATTTTCTTTTATTTCTATCTTATGGCTAACTTCCTTTGTCTCAAAAGGTACTCTGCCCTACCAGGGATCTTTTGTACAGCTTAAAGATAGTTTAAATCTATCCTGCAAGAAATTCAAGTTGTGACTTTAACCTTCAAATCTGGTGAACCTTAAGTAGTCCCTAATGTCATCTACCTAATTGAGAGAGAGATCCTTAGTCACTCTCCTCTTTAGTTTACCTCTATATCTCTCTGAAAGAGAGCACTCTGATGGCGTAATCTATAGAGTCACACTGCTCACTCAAAAGCCATGCACTCTCTGGGTTCAAATCTACAAGCCGTTCCAGATGGGCAATCTCTTGGGTGTGATTTACAACCCTGCGGACCTGCTAGAGAGTCACCTTTGATTTGTCTCTGACTTAGGGCAATAAGAATAACCTATCTCTGAAAGAAGCCCTGATAATACAATGACTCTGCATATGGCTACTAACCAAAAGGTTGAAGACAGTACTCACCCAGAAACTCTACAAAAGAAAGACCTAGAGGTCAATTCTCACAAGCAATAGAGTCTAGAAAACTGTCTCATAGGCTTGTTATGAGTCAGAATTGACTTACTATTACCTAACAACAAGAGCGGTGTCTTCAAAATTTTCCATTTTTTTCTTCATCACTATCATCATTGGAAGCTTCTGCAACTTACAGGTTTTGAACCTTTAAGCCTGCTCTAGTCCCTATAAGACAGCTGATACTTCATTTTCTACCTTGTGATCTTTCAAAAAAGAAAAAACCTAATCATATTGTGTGCTCCTGGCAATAATCCCTACTGTGATTTCCCTTAACTTTTAGAGAAAAAAACTAAACAAAAAATGTTTATTATAAAACACTGATTGAATAATGTGGTCCAACCCTACTTCTCCATCCTTACTTTGTTCTACAGTCCTCTTTGATCTTCACACCAGAGCCATATGAGGTCTTCTTGTCACTTTTCAAATGTACCACATTTCTTCTTGCTATGAAGTCACAATCCATGTTGCTTCTGCTGAAAATCTCCATTCCCCACCTCTTATATACGTATTTATCTCTTATTTAAGATTAAGATTTCACAGAGATTTTATTCCTTGAGCTTCCTTGGTAGTTCACCTCACCAAAATATATTCTAACAGAACCAAGTATTCTCCTTTCACAATACTTATCACTGTTAAAATGTCTTGTTTATTTGCATATTTCACTGATCAGCATTTACTTCTCCACCAAACTATAAGCATCATGAAAGGAGACCATATTTGTTTTCCTTCACCACTGTACCTCCAGTGCCTATTGAGAGTAGTGTATGGCATCTGATAGGTGTAGCTGAGTATGTATTTAGTATCTTAAAATGAAAGGAAGTATGGATAAGTCATTTCTGCTACATATATATGTACTGTGGTTGTCCCAAGGAAAACATGTTTTATTATTTGGGTTGTGAAGTAAATTACTTACTTTTTCTCTGGAATAGACAGAAACTTTACTTGAAAGAACAACTAATGAAAAATTATGATTATTCAGATCTAGGAAATTTGGCTGACACTTTCTTAAAACTGAACAAAGTTAGTCTACTGCTTGAGAAAAACTGATAAAACTTGTCACTAAGTATACATTTAAACTTCTAAGTAAAAAAATAACATTTTTGGTTATTTACCACAAATAATTATTCCAATATCTATGTTGTTGTTGTTGTTATGTGCCGTCGAGTCACTTGCGACTCATAGCGATCCTATGTACAACAGCCCTAAACTCCGCTCTGTCCTGTGCCAATCGCACTGTCTCTGACACTCCCATCCCAATTATCCCAGTCACTGAATCAATCCACCTCATAGAGGGCCTCCCTCTCCTGCGCCGTCCCTCCACCCTCCCAAGCATGATGTCCCTCTCCAAGGACCGGTCTCTCCTCACAACATCTATAGAACTTTTTTATAAGACTGATGATACTACTAACGAATATACCTTTTTAAATATGATATAAAGAAAGGTATTGGCAAGCTCTGGTGGCCTAGTGGCAAGAAGGTATACTGCAATCCCAGAGGTGCACGGTTCAAATCCACCAGATGCCCTGCTGGAGAAGGAGGAACAATCTCCTCCTGTACCAGTCAGATCTGATTTGACGGTACACACACACACAAATAAAATAAAATTAAAAATTAAAAAAAAAGAAAGGTATTAATATCTGGAAGATCTAGAGTTGAGTAGCATAACTTAGCAAAGCACTATTTTCCAATGTAAGCCACCAGGTTATGAAAAGGTAAAGATTCACTTGAAGTAGAAGACCGACTAATGGATTTTAATATGACACCAAAAAGTTTGCAGATAAGATTTCAGATTCTATACTGCAACTATTCGTTAAGATGACCAATAACCAACTTGATTAGAATTTCAAATAAGAGTATGCATAATTATTTGAAAAGGCCATTGGAAGTTTTCTTTTCTACTACCTGTGTCTAGAAATCAGTTTTTCTTTATACACTACATGTAAAACAAAATTTCACTTGAGTGAATATATGACAATCAATCTGTTTTCTATTAAGTTAGATTTTAGAGAAATTTATAAAGTGTGCACACAGTATCAGAAAGTCTTAGAACTACTGCTCCAATACATGGAAAGGTGAAAAACAATTAGTCTGCATTTATTGTTCAGGAATTATGACAAATGGAGAAAAGCAGTAAGAATAAGCCATTAGAATCCTTGCTTAGGTACACCATAAAGTCAATTCTCTGAATTACCCTGTTTGGGTTAGATACAAGAATGAATAGGCAGAGTGAGAGCTATTATAAAGAATATCCAAAGTAATAGGGTGCTTAGGTTTAATAAACGGAGATATTTTTCTTGGGAGCAATGGAAAGACTCTACAAAGAAAATGTATAGGAAGTATTTGTCTAGGAATGTGGTATAGTATCTTTTGAAATAACACATTAATTGGTTAAAACAATTGAACCTACCTTTGTTGATTTCTTATTCACAGAGATTCACAATTGGGTTTCTGAGGATTTAAATCCTAATTTACAAAACAGCTAGTGGATTTGAACTGCTGACCTTTTGGTTAGCAGTGCAATAAATAACACCCTCTTAATTAGATACTCTGAAAATGAAATTATTCTGTACAGGAAGCTCTGGTGGCCTAGCGGCAAGAAGCTGTGCTGCAATACTGAAGACACATCCTTCAAATCCACCAGCATGTTTGTGGGAAAAGGATGGACAATTTCCTCCTGAGTGATTACCTGTCTCTGAAAACCATCTGGAGGGTCAGCTGACTCATGCCAGTTCTGACTGGACCAAACACAACAACTACGTGTACACCTGACCCAAATTATAGTTATTTTCAATTGCTTTATATGCATGTAGATTGTACACAGCTTTAGTTTGCTTGGCTCCA